TCAAAAATTCTTAATTGTTCTCAAATTCTCAAGTGTTATATAGAGTTTTATTTTTGTTAAAAAAAAATTCCTTAATATTATTATTAGTATTCTTAAGATTCTAAAAAGAAAAAAAAAAGTTATTCTCCATATTATAATTAGTAATCATAAAAATAAAAAATAAAAAATAAAAAAAGGGCTCAAGAGGAGGAATGGGAAGGAGTCAAGGTGGTGGTCGAAGTGGTGGCCAAAGGAGTGGTGGTGCAAATTTTTCGTATGAAATTCATACGAAAAATTTAAACCAATTTGTCAATAAATATGGAGATTATGGTTTAGGAGATAGGCAAAATATTCAAACGTCTCCACCACAACATTTCTCCCATCAATCATCGAGTTCGACTATGCCACCTCTATCGCAACCAACATCTCAACCTTCATCTCAAGGTAATTTCTAATTAAATTTTTATTTTTATGAATATTTAAAAAAACTATTATTAATGATTATAAAGTTAGTTTAGTTTCCAATTTTCTATGATTTACAATTAGTTAATTACATGAAAAATGAGTTTAAATAATTATAATTAAAATATTTAAAATTTAAAAGCTTTTTTTCATGAATAGCGCTTAAAATTAATTTCAATAATTTGATTTATGAAAGGTGGTGGCGGTGAAAGTAGAGGTCGAGCACAATTTTTTTGGGTGTGGAAAAATTTTGAACGAGTTGAGGTCACACCACCAGGATGACAACCCGGTCAACCAAAGAGGTTCACGTGTACATGCCTAGTTTGCCAGGCGCTAGGTGCAAATATCAAGTCATATAATTGGAAAACGGGAGATGGAACCGGAACCTTGAGTCGGCATTTGCAAAATAAACACGACTTGTTCGAAAATGACCCCCGTCCTTCGGTGGGTGGCGTCCAAACACATTTGGGTGGATACATGAACCACCCCGGCGGAGGTACACCTTTCATTTATAATAAAGATAGAATGATTGATGAAATGAGTACTTTAGTTATTGGTAATGAATACCCTTTTAGTTACGGTGAAAATGCAAACGTTGAGAATTTTAATAAAGTTGCATTACAACCTGCATTTACTCGTGTCCCCCGAAATACCCTAAGACGTTATACACAAACTTCTTATTATAAGTATAGTAGTGGTTTGATTGAATTATTTCGTACTTTTGATGGTCGTGTTAGTTTTACAAGTGATACATGGACTTCTAGTTTTGGCGAACCTTTTCTCTGCATTACTGCTCATTGGGTGGATGATGATTAATTTATTCAAAAACGTATACTATGTTTTCAAGCTATGGAAGAAAGGCATACCGGTTTTAACATCAAAGTTCGTATTTTGGATTGTTTAAAAGAATTTCACTTGAATAATAAAGTTTTTCCGTTGTCTCTTGATAATGCAACTGCAAACACAAAGTGTATTGACTAATTGAAAAATGACTCTGAGTTGCATTTGTTGTTAGGTGGTAGCCTATTGCACGTTAGATGTTGTGCTCATATTTTGAATTTGTTTGTTCAAGAGGGTCTCGCTGAGTTGCAACCATTGCTAAACCCAATTAGAACAGTTATGAAATGGATTAGGATTACTCAGTCAGTTAGAAGAAAGTACATAGCTATGTGTAAAGAGAGAGGTCTTAAGAAAAGACAATGGTCTATTGATACCCCTACCCGTTGGAATTCTACTTTCAAGTTGTTGAGTGATGCTATAAAGTATCGTGACATTTTGACCCAACTTTACAATGAGACTTGTGTTGATCCTACTGAGTTAATAACCGAAATTCATTGGACTAATGCTTCTTTTGTTCGTGATGTTTTAAATGCTTTTGATAATGCAACTCATATTTTCTCTTATATTTATGAGCCTAACATTCATTTAGTCATAATTGAGTGTGTTAAAGTTGTTCACACCATCGAAGAGAATATGATGATTGATGGACTTCGTCCCGTTCTTGATAGCATGAAACGTAAGTGGCATACTTATTTTAGTGAATTTCCAATCATTTATGGAATTGCTGTTATTCTTGACCCCGGTGTCAAAGCTGAAGGTTTGGAAAATCTTTTAGAATTTTATTATACAAGTTTAAGTATCGATTATGATGTTAGTGAATATATTAACAAATGCAAATCTGTTTTGGGAGACCTTTATGATCATTATGCATCTATTTATGGTTTTGATTTGGCAACACCAACTACTACTAGCACTTTCGATTCTAGATTTGGTTTTCTTGATAAAGTTATGAAAAAAAAAAACACAAAGCATCTACATCATTCTCATCATCATCTTCTTCAACGCTTGCTATTAATGATTATTTATCATATCAACATGAGACCAACAACAACTTTCAAATTATAAAATGGTGGCAAGAACATAAAAAAAGTTTTTCTATATTGGCGAGAATTGCAAAAGATATACTTGCAGTTCCCGCTTCATCCGTTGCTTCCGAGTCTGCTTTTAGTGCAGGTAGAAGAGTGTTAGATGAAAAAAGATCTCACTAAACTCCGGAAAGCATTCAAATTTATGTTTGTAAGAAAGATTGGGATCAAGCTGAAAGAAGAACTCAAGGTTTAAAGGAAGACGAAGACGATGAAGATGATCCTGTGATGATATTGGAGTCGTCAACGGATGATGCAGCTTCCGGGGATGATGATGCAACAAACATGGGTGGCTAGAAAAGGCTAAATCAGGTACGCTAAGAACTACGTGGGATTTGATTCTTTCGATATGTAGTCAACTTATTTTTCGAAAATTAAAATTTAATTGCAAAATTAAATTTTAGTTTTCTAAAGATAGGTCCAAGCCCCCTCTCCCCCAAATTCCAAAAGAAGTACAATATAAGAACTACGTGGGTTTTGATTCTTTCGAGATACGTAGGCAACTTATTTTTCAAAATTACAATTTAATGCAAAATTAAATTTTAGTTTTCTAAAGATAGGTCCAAGCCCTCTCCCCCCAAATTCCAAAAGAAGTACAATATAAGAACTACGTTGACTTTGATTCCTTATTTTATAATATAAGGATACGTATGCATCTTAATTAAGAGCAACTGAGCAAGCCATCAAATTGTTAATTTTGTAAAAATTGAAACACCACACAACCCACCCGATCCTAACCCACGAACCAACCCGACCCTAACCCACCTAACCCACTCGACCCTAACCCACCTAACCCACTAACCCACCTTGACCCGTTTAACCCATGAACCCAGCTCAACCCACCCACGACCCGTCTATTCCACGAACCCAGCTCGACCCACCCACGACTCGTCTAACCCACAAACCTAACCCTGGTGTGTCTAACTTCTCCGACCCAACCCACGACCCAGCCCACCCTACCCTACGTGTGTCGTGCCGTGTGTCATGAAACCCCAACCCGCGACCCACCTAACCCTAACCCAGCTCGCACGACTCGCACGGTGGACACCTCTTGGTGAATTGCGAAAATTTTTATTATCTTTTGTAAACCTAAAGTTTTTATATTAAGTCAACTATAACATTAATGATAAATTTTAACTAAATATTTAACTATAGTTAGTTAGCTTTTTTTTTTTTTTAGCATTTATTTTAGAAATAATTTTTTATAAAAAAAGTCACCCATTTCCCAACAGCCAGCCACCTCTCCCCCACCCACCCCGGCGCCCAGCAGCACCACCTTCGCCGGTGCGCCGGCCTCCCCAATCCCCCTGGCGCGACTACTTCCCCCTGAACCACTACTTCTTCCCCGAAATCAACTCCCTCAGCTCCGAAACCCCCCTCAAAAAATTCCTCAAATTCTCAATCTCTCCTCTCTAAACGAAATCAGATAAATTCCTCAAATTTTCAAAGCTTTAGGGTTTGATTTCGCTCGGTTTTAGGGTTTAATTTCGGCTGGGTTTGATTTCGCTCAGTTTTGAGGGTTAATTTTGCTCGGTTTTAGGGTTAATTTTGTTCGATTAAAGGGTTTGAAGGCGGCGTTGTTTGCCGATAAGGAGGGGGTCACCGGTTGTGGGAGGAGATTGCTTGGTGAATTGTGTGAGATGAGAAGATTGCTTGGTGAATTGCGTGAGAGGAGGGGGTCAACGGCGGTCAAAGGAGAGAGAGGAGGGGGTACGGTCACCGGCGGTGGTTTGGGCGTTTGGGGTTATGGGTTGGTGGTGGTCTGGGAGGAAAAATTTGTGAATTTTTTTTTAAAAAATAATTTAATTATTAAAATATAAAAGAAATTAACCATAGTTAGTGAATTTATATTAAAATAGCTATTATCTTTAGTAATCAATAATTCAGGTTTACCAAAGATATAATAAAAATTTTCGCAATTCACCCTGAGAAAATTATAAAGTATAGTGTTACCAAGAGAATTTTCCAATTTGATATAATGACTACAATTTTATTATAGTCATTTGAAAATTATTTTGTTATTATTATTATTTTTTTAATCAAGTGGCCTAGCTTAGATGGTTCGTTGGAGCCTATTTTAATTTGTCCCGAGGGCATGTATGGTATAGTTGTATTAGTGCTGCTGACAATGGAATCAATTAAACATTTCCATTACCTATTGCTTCCTTTCCTAGAGGTAATCATTCCTTTACGCATTATTTGTTACCTCTCCCAACCGTATGATAATAATATAAATATTTATCACTTCAATCCGCAATTTTATACAAGGGATGGGCTCGTTTATTATCCTTCATTAGTTTAAACATAATAAATTCTCTACTATGCACCCTAGCTTTATATATGGAAGGCTTGTTTACAATTCTCCGCGTGCTTAACATTTTAGATTTCACCAATTAAAGCTAGGGTGCATAGTAGAGTATATTGACATACATGAAAGATTACTGCTAATGGTAAGGAAATTTAACATAGAAATAGGCATGGAATTTAAACATGCATGCCTATTTCTATGTTTAAATTCCTTAACATGATGTTTCGAAAAAAAAAAAACCAAATAATTCCTTAACATGAAAGACAAACTAAATTGGAATGAAAAAAAAAAAATACCCAGGAGTAAAGCGTATATATGGGATATCATAGTGATCAAGACCGAACGAGCTAACTTTTATTTATTGTGCATAGCTCAAATGAAACAACTAAAAACAAGTACAAAGCTCAAAAGAAAACATCAAGGCACACGACCATGTGCCCTAAAATCATCCCTTATATAACATTCTCTCTTAAGAAAATTAGACTTAGCTAATTAACTAAGAGAATTTAAAGACAACAATGATCATAATCATCCACCATGCATCATGATCATGATGTTGATGATGTTGATGACCATACCCTAGCTTGCATACATGCATATATAGGATGACATACATGCATGCATGCACATCATATAGTACGTCTTACTCCATGTATGACATGCGGCACTTGCGTTGCATGGTACCACACATCCTAGGAATGTTCATGGCTTTTTCCATCATTCTTTGTTCATGCATCATCCCTTTTTCTTCCACTATCATCTTCATGGCTTCACATTGACATTGTGGCCTCATCATCTTCAAGTCATCACAACACTTCTCTAAGTATTGTTGACTTCCTTGGTTATCATCCTCATCACGACCCATGTACCTCCTCATGCCTTGCATCATGTACTGCTCACAGTGGTTCGGCCACTGCGACCTTAGCTGGCGGCGACACTGGCTAGATGAGCCCCTCCCTTGTTCAAAGTCATCTTCAATCTCGACTTCGGTGGTTATGATGGTGGCATGAGTCATCACCACCAAGGCTGCCATGACGGCAGCTAGAATCACAAACTTGGTTATTGCCATTTTATTATAAAGAGGAAGTTGTATTTCTTTTTTAGGATTTGGTTATTTGTTGTTGGAATGTTGGTTTGAGAATAAGAATATTGGACTATTTATAGATGATTAAGGATACTTGCATGGAGATAACGTGGTTGGTGAAGATAGTAAGTAGCAGCCACCAAAGCTTGGTTTTTTGGCTTTTATGTAGATTTATACGACATATGGTGTTATTATGCATGGAGAATATATGCAAAGTCCAGTGTTCGCCATTTGTAATTGCTTTAATAAAAAAATGAAATAAAAAAATAAAATAAAATAAAAAATTGACAATGGTAAGATTATTGATGTGGTATATGTTAGGAATTGAAGATGAGTCATATGTAAATTGTAATTAGTTGTCCATATTAAAGATATAGAGGTATGTGATACTAGTTAGTTATCTATTGTATTACTAATTGATTTTAGAATGAAACCCTGATTGACTTGTATGTGATCAATTATATGTGTTTATATTGGCTAAGTGGTAAGTAGTGTTAGGCCCTAAATTAATCAGCTATAATTCACATTGCTTTAGAACGAACTATAAAACAAACGTCTTATTTCAATAAATCTTATAGGATCTGATAAATCTTATATGTTTTGTAAATTCTCATGGTGGAAACTAGAAATGTCATTTGACATGAAAGAAATAATGTGCTAATGCTCTCTTATGTTAGATATATGAAATAAATTGAATGACAAGACATAACATTGAAATTGAGCTAAATTTAGATTGTAATTTTAATAGTATGTTTTTAAGGAATTTTCAAGAGATTATATATAAGCTTTGAACAATTTTGTATGTGGACATGTAATAAGTGAACAAAAGTTCACCAAAATAGCTTACATGTTGTTCACTAGCTATAAGGTGACTTAGAAACTCACTAAAGTAATTTTTATATAAAAATTTTTGGGTAAGTCTCAATATTACAGTATTAGTGGAATTACGTAAAAGTTATTTATATCTATATAAAATCTCTTGATGGGGCTATTATCAGACAGCACAAGAATAAGAAAAAGAAATGATAAATTACTGCACAATATACTCTTTCCCACGGATAATACTCTACAGAAGAGATAAATTGTGTTGAATACTCCCCATGGATAATACTCTACACAATATGATCCTCCCAAATAATTTGTTTCACAATTGTGTACTAAGTTAATTAAGAATTTTGATGCCCCCTATAGGTGCATTTAGTTAATTTGAATTTTCTGATCTAAATTGATTATTCCTGAAAAAGCACCATAGTGCTTGAATAGATTGAATCAAACGCACCCTATATTTGAGATGTTTTACCATCTTAGGGGGAGAAGAACTGGATTAAGTTGGCAAAATTATAAGTAGTTGATCCCTATAATAGTAATGTATAAAGTTAGATGCCAGCTTTTGTATCAATATATGTTGCACATCTATGATTTGATTTGTATACCATTATGACCCATCAAGAGGCATAAAGAAGATACATTTTGGTTATAATGATGTGCATACATTGAGATAGATCTTGCCAATTTTTATTTACATCACTAAACTTGAAGTGTAGATTGTATGATCGGTTCCAATATAAATATGTGATGTATGGCAAGATAGTGTAGTTGACATTTTTAAAGTGTAATAATAATATACGAATACCATAGTGTATGCAATACCGAAGAAGTAGTATAGATATCTGAGTTATAAAAGATAACCTATGATATGAGATAAATATAATGCTACCAATTGCAAAAGCATTCAGATATTATTATAAATAGCATACGAAATTGTATATTAAAGAAGGTCATGATACCGGTATACTATGGAATCGATAAATAATATGTATATGCGTGAAAGAATGGACTAATAAATAAGGAATCTGAAATATATGTCCATTTTGATAGTGACATGATGATAATGATAAAAATTTAGCATGGACCAGAAGTCCAATGAAATATGGATTTTTAAGCCCACATTGTACAGTGTCTTGTATTATTTTTTAGTCTTACCTTCATGTGCATGTATGAGTTGTTGATAGATGGATTACTCATTGCATGTGTAAGCAGTTGTTATATGCATTACTTGTTGTATATCTATGCTAACATTATCTTATCGTAATTTCTATATCTCATATTACATATACTAGTTTCTATACAATAATAATTGTGATATATATATATATATATATATATATATATATGCATGTATGTGGATGTTCGTATTAAGTGTAGTAAGGAGAATTTACAATTTTAATGGAAACTTACAAAAAGATATTGTATTTATATTCCAATGGGCCCTTTTTTTTTATTTAAGGTAAGATGGAGGACCCTACTGAACCGACACCTCTCACAGGTTTAGCCAGCTTAGCTCCGCAGGTCACCGCTTGAGAGTAGAGGGGGGAGATAAGGGAATCCCCTTGCTCCCAAGAATTTTGTAGTTAGTGGGCTCGAACTCGTGACCTCAAAGTCACAAGGTGAGTTCCCTAACCAACTCAACCAAGTTTTGCTTGGTATAATCCAATGGGCTTATAGTTGTGATGAAATTATGTATGATGTTGATCTAATAGCATGTTATGAAATAAGTAAGAAGAGTTCTTGAAGAACTTATACACGACGTATTTAAATACCAAGCTGACAAGCGCACTTTAGGGCGCGCTTTAGAGCATATTTTAGGATGATTTTGGATGTATTTGGGGCCTCTTTGGCCGATTATTACCTTGTTATGCTTACGTTCCCCATATTACGTGCTTCACGGGTTTTCGGTTTGTTTTTGATGTGTTTTCAGGTAATATCAACCGAGTTTAATCGGATCCCGAGCCCTTGATGCGTAACCGAGCTAGCCTTGACCGGAGTCCGAGGAGTTAAGGAAGTTCAAGTGCCGTGCATTGATTACATAGCACAGGCAGCACGGCCGTGTTACCATAGGCACACCCGTGCTGGCCTATAAGCAAGCAACCCCAGGCAAGGAAGCACGGCCGTGCAAGCCAATAGCACGGACGTGTCAGTATCCACGCACCCGCACGGCCGTGCAGGCCATTAGCACGGCCGTGCCAGATGTTGCCCGTGCCCGTGTCAGCTTCAGTATGAGCCCCGTGCTAGAGCATATTCAGCACGGCCGTGTCATTTTTAGCACGACCGTGCCATATATAGCACGGCCGTGCCAATTTGAAGAAGAAACCCGGTTTACTTACTGACAAGCTAGCACGGCCGTGCCAAATACAGCACGGCCGTGCTGATCCAGGGTTAACTGCGCGCTTGACTTCTCCGAATTAGAAGACGTATATAAGGCCTGACTTTAAGAGGATTAAAAGACAGTTTTTAGAGATAGTTTTGAGAGCCTTTGTAGAGAGTTATTGGAGAACGTTCTTAGTATTAGAGATTCATTAGTTTTCTTAGAGAAATTCCTAGAGATTTTAGTTTTCTTGGATTGATTTGAAGCAAGATTTGCGAAGGTTCTTTGTATTATTCATTGACGACGGATATCAAAGTTCTGAACTTTTCCATTGATTCTCATCAATACAATTGGTATTATTCATTCTTGTTTATTAATCAAGCTTTATTATTCCTTAATCAGAATTCATGTTTATATCTATTATGCTTTTGGAATTCATTATTGCTTTGATTATGAATATGTGTGAGTAGTCTCCTAGCTAGGGTTTCGGGATGAAACCCGACCTAGGTAATCTATGTAATTGAGGATTGATTTTGATAAACGGATTGTGATTAAATTGATTGTATGCGATTGCATGTTAATTCATTATAATAGGAGTAGCTAACCTAGAATCTTGAATTTGATTGCATGATATTCTTGATTTGAACAAGAGATTGTGAATTGAGTATTTCATTATTGAATGTGGTTTGATTATGTATCGAGTAATGTTAAGTGCATGAGAAATCCAAGCTTAGTATTGCCCGTTGTCTTCCTATCACATGATATTGATCAGACTTATAGTCTTTGCATATCCCGTTTGTCTCTGTGATTCCTTGTTGCGTAGTTACCGATGGTTTGGTGAATTCCCGTTCTCCCTAGTGTCTTAGTTTATTGATTTATTCGATCTTATTAGTAGTATTTTAGAACGCCATTTTTCATTGATTTCGAACTAGCTTAGGTTTAAGATTGATTTGCAATTACTCTCGTTCCTCGTGGACCGAACCTTTATTTGCCATTGTACTTGGTTATAGGGTGTTCGTATAAGTATTGTTTGATTGAGATTTAGATTGTAGCGACCGATTTAACCCTTGTCACAAGCCTATAAATTTTATATTTTGAATATTGAAATTATAACACTACAAGAAAACAGCTTGATTCCGACGGAAAAAATCCGTCGGAAACATCGGAAATTCCGTCGGAAAATGATTTTCCAACGGAATTCCGTCGGAATCAGTCTGTCGCAAAACCCTTTGTAGGAAATTCGACCTTTTCCGACGGATTTTTTTCTGTCGGCGCTTTTTTTACTTTAATTGAATTCCGTCGCAATTTTCCGACGGAAAATTCCGTCGGAGTTGGAGTGATTTCCGACGGAAATTTCCGTCGAAAGAGGTATATTCCAACGGAAATTTCCGTCGGAAAAGTCAATTAAAAAAAAAAAAAAAACAGCCCCACCCCTAACCCTTACCCCACCCAGGTCCACCACTGCCCACACCCCTGCTCACCACCCCAACCCACCCCACCACCACCCCCTAACCCACCACCCCCACCCACCAGAACGTACCACCGTAACCCCAACCCACCCCACCACCGTAACCCCAACCCACCCCACCACCGTAACCCCATTAGCCAGTCCCTAACCCACCACGACCACCACTGAACCCTAACCCACCCACGCCTCCACACACCACCAGCTACCAACCCTAACCTGAACCCACCCACCAGACCCACCTAACCTGAAAATACTCTCCTAACCCGAACCCGAACCCAACCACTAGACCCACCACCTTAGCCACCAGATCTACAAACCACCATCACCCACCTCGCCATTCCCCACCCTCCCCAACCACCACCGAAACCACCATTCCCCACCGAAACCAACCAAAACCACCATACCTTCAATTCCACCTCCAATTCAACCACCACCACGACCACAGTTCAAACAC